TAATTATTAATATTAAGTATGAATATTTAATATTTTGAATATTTTATATTTAAATTATTAATATTAAGTATTAATTACAAATCATATTATTGTAATAATAAATATAACCAATTATTATTAACAATATATATTATTACATATTATAACCAAGTACATAAATGATAAAAAAAAATCATCTACGATGAATCGAGATTCAATTTTGTTTTCTATTCCATTAATTTTTCTTATGATTAAATTTTTCATATAATTAAACAAAACTCAAGTTAAGTAAAAAAAAAAATTACGAAAAAAATGTCATTTCCATTTTCAAAGTTGCTTACTAATTATTATTTTTCCAACTAATATCAAATTTTTCGAACAAATGGCACAAATTTCATTTATTAAAAGTAAAGTACTATAATTTCCAATCATTATTTTTTAAAAATTAATTAATCATTTGAAAAACTTTATAAATTGATAAATTATTGTGATATTAGTTCGCCATTATATATTTTGATTGTTTATGTAAGAATCTATGATGTCTCATTATTATAAGATAAATAATTGATATCTTGAATAATTAAGTTAAAATTTTATATTTGGTATCTATCTATCTATCTATTCTCTGTCCTTAAATTTCAAATCAATCAGTTATGCAATGTGTCTTTTTCAATTTTCTTGTAAAAATTCTTAAATTTACGAGCTAAATAAACATTAATTACGATTCTGTCATTTAGAAATATTTCTCTAGGCCAAATTACGAAAGAAACGCGTGTTAACTTTCGTATAGCACGTAGAACACGAGAGAATGTCTATCGAATAGCCAAAACACATAGGAAATAGGCGCCTGTCTGGTCTATGCTAATTCGTCAGTAGACTTGGCTGCCATCTATATCTTGTCAACTGTTCCTTTTCTAACCGTTTTTCTGACATGTGTCTCATGCACGTTTAAAAAATCACACGCGAATCGCGTTCATTACTGAGCAAACGCCAATCAAACGAATCTCGTTTCTCGAGAAAAATGTGTTTATTAGGAAAAAATATGAAATGGAAATGGAAATATACAAGGTGTCCTAAAATGTGGATAACTGATTGAGAGGGACAAAAAAAATTTGAAATGATTTGAAAATACTAAAAAAAA